TCTAGCTTTAATGGTTGTGGAGTTATTGATTTTTTTGTAATATTATTAAAACGCGTTTTATTTTTTTTATTTTCAAGGCGTAATTTTGAACATTTTGGTCAAAGAAAACAAATAAAAAAAGCCTAAATAAAGTTGTTCAGCGGTATGGAAATACTTGCATAATAATTTTCATGGGTTTATCTTGAATTGTTGTGGAGAAATTGATTTTTTTTGTGATAATACCAAAGCACGTTTTTTACTGTTAATATAGCATTTAATAATAATAAAATATAATTATTAATTCTAACATTGATTTTTGTTTGGCATAAAATTCAAATAAATTTTCATTTATTAAAGCTTTGTATTTCCAAGATTAAACAGTTACTTTTTACAATTGTTATATTAAAATATTAAAGTAATTTCATTAAAAAATCTTTATTTATTCTTTAATGTTTTATAGAGCATAAAAATGCAGAATATTTGTTCTTTGTTAATTTTAAAAGTGTACGAAATGCGAAATATTTTCCAAGATAAATGTTGCACGAAAATATAATGTGGTAATGCGAATCATTTTTGAACCTATCATATTTAAGGGAAGGGTCTAGGATATTATCCTAAACCCGGGGTCTAGGATAAGAGTGCTCTAAAAAATATCCCTGGCGTTTGTGACAAATAACGAGTGACAAATAGTTTTACACCATAAAAAACATGTTCCCAGATTAAATAGTAAAAAATGAAACGTGGTAGATTATTATATAATCACATAATATCACATTAATCCGGTGATCGTAACCCCGGTGATTACAAGTAATTTTCATTTATTTAATTATAAATTTCTTTCTATCATGAGAATATTAAATTATCTGAGGTTTCGACAGACGTCGAAATCGAATCTAGAGAATCCAATCTCTTAACCGTTAAATTTTGCAAAATTTGTTAACAATTAAAATCGCAATTCAGCAATTCGAAACCGTTGAAATCGTCAAATCCGTCAACCCGATTAAGGTCAATCTTAAATTTTATAATGCAAATTTAAATCTCGATTAAGATGCGAAAAAGAGAAGTATTTGAGGAACTTACATATGCACGTAATACATAAACATTAAATCTCGGGAAAACTAATTCCGTTGATTATAATATATAATACCTCATTATTTTGTTTCCCTCCCCGTCTCTTCTTTTTCTAGAATATTTATTATGATCGGCAATGTTTGCATAAAAAAAAAAAAAAAATATGGATAAACAAGATAATTTAATAAAAATTTGTAAACACGATTTTTTTGTCTCTTTGAATTTCATAACTCAGGATGGTTTTATCTGACGATGACGAACGTTTAGGTTTGTATTTTAATAGCAACTTTAAATTAAACCATTAAAGATATTAACGTTTTTATTTCAATTTAAACATTTACAGGTATTACAGGTATTCGGTTATGATTAACTTACATTTCCTTTTTTTTTTTTTTTTTTAATATTAATAATCAACCTTTGGACGATGAATTCATATTTTAAAGGTGATGATTTTGAGGAGTTAGATATAAGTACCGAGCAAGGTTCTTCTCAAAGCATATCAGGTATTCATTATATATAACTTAAAAACTAAAATGCATAAATTTACTAACTTATTCGTTGGACATTGTCAAGAAATTGGTCTTTCTGAAGATGTAGGAATATATAATTGGATCAATAGAAATTTATCTGGTAGGCATCTTATAAAAAAGGGAGATATTACTTAAGCATTCGAATATTAACTAATGTCCATAAATTTAGCACCTATATTCGTATCACCAAGAGAAGTGGAGTTTGGGTTACCAAGAGAATTAGAATATGGACCTAAACGAGTTAATAGGTTTCATTGTCAACATCCTGGATGCTCTAAAACTTTTAAGGACAATTTCCAGTTAAAAACCCATGAAAGAACGCATACGGGTGAAAAACCATTTGCTTGTGATTATCCAACGTGCAACAAAAAATTTTCGCAGAAAAACAATTTAACGGTACATCAGAGAACTCATTCCGGCGAAAAACCTTATTTCTGTGAAGATTGTAAACAACAATTCACGCAACTGAGTCAACTTAATTCACATATAAAAGTACATACCGGTGAAAAGAATCATGAGTGTGAAATTTGCAACAAAAAGTTCAAAGAGAAAGGGCAGTTAAAAGCACATAAAGATACTAAAAAACACAAGGAGTGCGAGTTGGAAGTACAAACAGTTACGCAATTGACCGTTTACTATTAAAATCACTTTTGTATCATACGATTTACTATTTATATACTGTACATAAAGCGAAAATTTTTTTTTGGATCCAAATCCCCTACATATAGCTTTATTTATTTAATTCTTATTTTTACTTTTACTTTTATATTTTCTTTATTGTCTACAGTATCATTTGTGAACTAGTTTAGTTTAAACTAAACTCGTTATTTACTACATTTAAAGTTCAACTACAAATGTTTCGTACCAAAGAAAACACGAGATATAAATGCTTCAAACGAATTAAAAAGATTTTTTTATTAGGACTAGCAAATAATCCTTTAAACAAATTTGTTCGTTTCACGCTCGACAACATGTTGATGTGATGTTAGGCTAACAAATATGCACGACAATATAAAATTTGAAAAGTGGATAATATTATTTCTTTGTTCTGATAAAAATTTACATCTAAAAAGTTTGCGCAGTAATTTCATTTAGAGGTTACCAGTTAATTAACCGGTTAAGACGTTTATCATTTTAAAATATTTAATTTTAACTCCGGCCGAAATTTAATTTCGGGCAGAATTAAAATTTTTTAAAATTTCGCTAGTTTTGCCAAAATTTATAGTGCCGGCCTGTGATAAATTTAACCGGTTATGGGGACCTCTAGGAAAAATGCTTTTTTTTTAAAAAATGAATAAAATGAATTCAAAAGCAAATAAAGCATTTTGAAAAACGAACAGATTATGTGCATATTGTGATATTAGTGATTCATAATTAATAAGAATATATACAAAAAAGACTAGTATTTATTGAAATATTACATTTCTCAGTTTTTTTTTTAATATAAATCTAAACACGTGATTTATCAATAATATTTATAGTGCAAATCCATTTATAACGTGGTACCATTTCCTTCTAAAAGAAACGACAGCAAAAGTCCAAATTGATTTTATTAATTATATTGTCAAAAAATCATCATTTATTCTAATTCTATTCATTTCAACCTTCTAAATTAAACTAAATTGGCCGCCACCGTCAATCCCTTTCAAGTAATGTGATTTTTTTAACTTCTTGGGCAAGCATAACACTGGCGGCATCTAGCTTCATAACCATCTTGACCTGCTATTAATACAAGAGGACTATCATAAGCAGCAGGTTGTCCTGAAATTACCCTTTGAGTAAAACTAGCTTCACCTTGACACACTTGACAAATGGCTTTTAATTTAATAACTTCGTCAGCCAAGGAAAGTAAAGATTTCATAACTTCATTAAAAGGTTCTCCACGAAAGTTTTTATCTAACCCTGCACCAATAACTAAGAAACCCTTTTTTAACAAGAAATTGATTTTTTCGCCAATTCCTTCGTCGAAAAATTGTAATTCATCAAAAAATAATATCGTTTGCTCTTTCTCTTGAGAAATATATTTGTCTATTTCGTTACTACTTTCGAGGACGATTGCTTGAGCTTTATTTTTTTGGTGCGAAACCACCTCCGCTGTCGAATAACGATTATCCAAAGAAGGCTTGAAAAGTAAATACTTATTTTTAGCGATTTGACAACGATGAATTCTTCGTAACAACTCTTCCGTTTTTCCCGCAAACATGGGACCAGTAATTATCGTTAGTTTTGACATCAACTTTACTCGAATGAAATCAGCTTTTCCTGAACAAGTAATAGCATGTTGTCTATATTTGCATCTTGATTCTTGACTGGCTAAAAAAAAACTAGAATTTTAATAAAAATAACAATTAATAAATTCATTATAAATAGTTCTGAAATAACAAAATAGCGGTGATTCTACCTTGACATTTTCTATCATATTCCCGAGCAGGGATACTACCAAAGAAGGAACATTTTTGGATAGGAGAATCACCACCAAGATATTGGGTCTAAAATAATTTTAATTTTAACCAATCTAATCCAATTTGATCAAAGGACAAATTGATTTAAACCAATAACTCACGTCATTAAGGGCATTAAAAGGAGACGTTGCGGGATATTCTATAGGTACGGATGTACGAGTTAACGTAAAATGATCCATCTTGGCTTCATTTTTATTTTTATCATCAGTGTCCAAATCATTACCCGTTGGAAAAGTCTTTTAATTAATGAAACCGATTACTTCAAGAAATCCTTTTACAATCCGATTTTTAACGCAAAAAAAAAAAAAAAAACTTTTAAGTTTACCTCAATATCTTTAACATTTCGTAAAAAATTACTTACATAGGATGTTTCTGCATCTATATGGTCATTAATAATATCTGAAATATTCATTGTTAAAAAGTTTAAAAAAATTTTTAAAAAACAAAAAAAAAGAAAAAAAAATTGATAATTTTTTTTTTCGTTTACCTTTCATAAACCAGATGCATAAAAGAATTTGTGGGTGGTTTACTATATTTGTTAAAATACAATGCAAAATCGATATGATGAAGTAAATTTCCCCGTCTGCAGTTGATCGATTTACCAATTTAAGGTTTTAGCAGTTCCATGTGGCGGTTGGTGCTACAAATTTTTTTCTTTCAAAAATTTTTTTGAAGCGACTTTTTTGAAATTTTTTTGTTTTGAGCAAACCTTTATTTTAAATCCACGTCATGTGTAACAATATGTAAGTTTGTAGGTCAAAGAGAAATATAACCCTTTTAATATATAAATTTGACCTAATTATGTAATTCTTTCCGTGCCTATTAGCAAATTTTGTCCGGAATGTAAAGAAGAAAATACGGAATATCAATGGTGTTTTCAATGTAATCCCAAAAGATTTGAAAAAGATTTTTCAAAGTGGAATAGTGGAAATACATTCATTAACAAATTTATTCGAGAAGTACAACTCAGAGCTCGAAAGCACGATGATGTTTTAGAATGGATACCTTTCGATAGGCTAACGAATATCAATCGACTAGGTTCTGAAGTTGCGTTCAAAGCAATTTGGTTAGATGGACCTATTGAAATTTGGGATTATTATGAACAACAATGGAATAGAAATACATACGAAATGGACGATAATGTGGATGGTTATGAAGTGGTTCTTAAAAATCTTGATAATTCATCAAAATCAAATGGTGATGAAGGATTTCTAAATGAGGTATGATGTTAATATTGAAAATACTTATATGATAATGGATCTAATTAATTTTTATTTTCCTTGTATTAAGTGGAAATATCATTTTAGTTGTGATTATAATAAAGAACATTCTCTCATTCGATTATTCGGGTTCACTCAACATCCAATTAATTTGAATCATATGATAGTGATGGATTACGCTAATGAAGGAAGTTTAAAAAATTTCTTATCAAAGATCGTTAAATTTAACTGGCATACCAGATTAAATTTATTGAATGATATTATTGCTGGTCTTGAAAAAATACATGATACCAACCTTGTTCATTGTAACCTTCATGATGGTAACATTTTAACGAAGAGAATTCGTAATAATTATAATGGGTTGGATTTATTTCAAAATTTTGTTGACGATTTAAGATCATGTCAACCGTTTGAATATCATCCATCCGCTTCTTCTAACAATGAAAGTATTTACGGTGTCTTGCCTTTTATAGCGCCCGAAATTTTGGGAGGCGAACCTTACACTCCAGAAAGTGATATATATAGTTGTTCGATGATTATGTGGGAGCTTGCGTCAGGAATTTCACCATTTTACGGGAGGGAACATGATACTCAACTCATGTTAAGCATTTACAAGGGTGAACGTCCTGGGATCATTCAAAAAACTCCACAGTGTTATGTTGACCTAATGAAAGCATGCTGGGATTCCGACCCTTCTGAAAGGCCAACTGCAACAGAAATTTCTACAATTGTTCAAAATTGGATATATTATACTTTGAAGTATTATGAGGCGGAAAGTCCATTGGACATTAAACAAGAAATTGATAGGAAATTAATTAAAGAAAATATTGATCAAGTAATTGAAGAAATTGATGATGTGCAATTACAAAATGATACCATAGAATTTTGGAATGCGGATAAAGATTTAACGCAGTGTTTCTAGTAAAATTATAAGGTTGATATTACAATTAATTTTATTGAATATTGTTATTTTATAATATTTAAATTTATTGAATGTAATAACTTAGTATAATTTATTAGAAGGAAAATTTTAATAATTGTCAAAAAGGATTCAAAACACACAATAAATGATATTGATTCCCGGTGAAATTTCCTAATAAAATTTGACAACACGGACATCATAAAAAAAATTAAGTTTCAGTTTTATTAACTCCTTTGGAATTTTAAATATGTGAGTGACAGTTGTTGTTCAGGAAGTATCAGTTAGGATAAGATAAATTCGATAAAATTTATACGTTTCCTTAAATCAACCTATATCCGGAAATAGATAAAAGGAGACTGTTCACAGAAAATCTAAAAGGAAAGAAAATCAAGAGAAGATCCAAATACAGACACATAAGTATCTAAACTTTCGGAGAAGTGCCCCGCACTTTAATATAATGAAAAAAAAAATATATATATTTCAATGTTATTAAATATTTTTTTTTTTTTTAATTTTTTTTTTTTTTTTGCAAATTCTTATTTCATATTCATTTTTATATATATATAATTTTTTATCCTTTTTTCTCAATATTTATTTAATAACGTAAATTAACAAGAAAATTAATGAATCTAGATGAAATAGATACAGTAAGCTTTGTTATAATTACCAAAAACATAAAGTTTCTAAAAATAACTGATAACTAGAGTTCTCTCTGCGTATTTATAAAGCGCAAAAGGTTGCACAAAGGAAAAGACGAAATAATCATGACACAAAAAATAAGACGAAAAAATGAATCATTTAAGATATAAACCCGTTCAAGTTTTTTAAAACTGACATGAATATTTCAATACATTGTCATTTAGCGATAAGAATTTCATTATTTAACATCATGGAAAAGCAAGGTTTTATATTGTCTTTCATTATTTATCGTTATTGTATTCAAAATCATCTTTCCTTTTTTTATACTGTTAATTTAATTAAAAAAAAAAAAAATCTGTTGAATATTTACTTAAATTTAAAGAAGAAAATATCGAGCAGGATTTCGGTGAGTTATTATTTTTGTTCAATTTTTAAATTATAAAAGTTGTCGGAATTTATTTATATATATATATTTTTTTAAAATATCTTTGGATTTATATATTCAAATCGTTTAAAAAAAAAAATATTTTTTTAACAAATAAACACTATATTATTTCTTTTATGACTGCTACGTTTGTTAAAGGATTAATTTATGTTAAAGCAAGTGAACTAGCGTCACATTATCCAGGTTTTTATTTAGATTCAAAATCCTTAAAATGTTTTCTTTTTAATAATTAATAATTTAATTTTTGCATGAACATAACTAGACTATCCTGTTCCAGGTTTTTTTTTTTTTTTTTTTTGATATATATATTATTTTTTTAATTTATTCAAACCGTTTTTAAATTATCATAAAATTTTTATACTTTTTCCAATGGTTCAAATTATTATTTGTTAAACTGCAAAGTTTATTTTTCAGGTTTTTGTTTTATACTATTTTATTTTCAATTTGATTCAAAAAGTTTAAAACAATCTTAATAGTTGTGGCATCATCTTTTTTTTCTACATTTTTAAAAGAAAAGAATGTTACGGATACTATTAATGACCCACTAGGTCTTAATTCTAATTTCGTGGATAATAAATCTCCAGGTTTTTATTTTGCATTCATGTTCAATTCATAAATTATTACATGTATAACGGTAAAAAAAAATTTTTTAAAACAATATCTTTAGATGATGAGTCCATATATTTAAAAGAAAAGGATGTTACGGATATTAACGGCGTGCAGGAATTTCTTCTCACAGGCAATGCCAAACCAGGACATCTTTCTAATGTCGTGGACAAATATCCAGGTTTTTATTTTGTTTAATTTAAAATATTTTAAATTATAATAAAAGTTATTGATATTTGGATGACTTTTGCTACATTTTTAGGTGTTACGGATATTAATGGCAGGCAGGAATTTCCTTCAGTCAGCTCACCAAGGGTTTATAAAGTCGTGAACAAATTTCAAGGTTTTATTTAATTTCAAAAAAAAATTCAAAACGTTTTAAAATAACTTAAAAATTGGGTTTTTCTTTTTTTTTTTAAAGTAACTAATCTTTGATCACATGTATGTAGAAAAAGACTTACCACATTTAATGCAACTCAAGGAAGATGCGTCCCCATCCCAAAAGAAATCTAAACACGATTCGATTGATTCGATTAGTGCTAGGTCTGATACTAATGGAAAGGTCAGTATAGAAAATTCATTGCTTTGATTTGTCTTATAATATACTAGGAACGGTTTCGAAAACCGTTGTTAAGTCCGGAGCATAATTGTAACGAAAAAGACCAATCATGTATCGACTCAATTTTTGAGCGGGACATCTTGTGTCACCGGGCATAGGATTATATAGTCCTTCGTTACTAATTAATATATATATATTATTATACTGTAAATGGTTATAGGGTCGCCATAACAAACTTGCGATTGAAAATCCGTACTCCTGTAATATTTGCGGCAGTAGGTCATCATCGAAAGGTAACTTGGAAATACACCAGAGGATACATAGTGGAGTAAAGCCTTTTAAGTGTAACATGTGTAGCAAAACATGTAGACAACTAGGAAACCTGAATGATCATTTAAAAGTCCATACAGGAAAAAGGCCTTATAAGTGTGAAGACTGTAATAAATCGTTTAAACAATCGGGCCATTTGACAACTCATAAAACAAGGAAGGTACATAAAGATAGGGTTAAACAATTGAACAGGAAGTAACTATAGTCCCTTTTTATTTATATCGTCAAAATAATCAAATATACCATAATTTTAATTTTTTTTTTTTTTTTTAAAAAAAAAAGTTCGTATACAAAAGTCGAGAAAACAATTTCTTCATAAAATTCAAAAATTTTATTTTGTTACTTTAGGATCAAACGTTCTTCACGTTCGATCAAATTTTCAAAATTTTATCTCGAGATTAATTAAGTTAATAGAAATCACACTTTTATACAAATAGCTAGAAATCAAAAATAAAACGTTTAATGAATTCATCAAGTTTGTGAGTTACAAGGTGCGGCGCGGTTAAATAACCGAAGAGAATTTCTGAATCAGTAACAATAAAAACCCGATCTACTTTATGTCATTATGTCAACCAATATAAACTAAAAGAGTTATGTGAGAAATATATCACGAAATTGCAAAATTTCATTAAATATATTATATAGAAACTTTCGTCAAAACTGCATTTATTTTAGTTATTTTTTATATATAATTTTGATCTTACAAATAAATTCCATTTTTTTCCATTTTGATATTTCTTTCTGTATCTGCGGTATTTTTGAAACTCAAAAAATCATCGTCCTTTCTTACACAATTAAATGATGTCAATTGAGGTCATTTTAGATCATTTCAAGGTAAAAAAAACAATGAAAAAAAAAAATCATTTACAACGAGTAAAAAAAAAAATTTATCTAATTCATGTGTAACGTTAGATTTAGAATTGTAACCTAAATTTGGCTTTCAAATGTCGAATACGAAAATATGGTACGTACGGTACGAATTTACAAAATAAGGTCGTAATTTCGTTAGAGTACAGATTCAATTCACGTTATCCATTGTCAATGGAATATTATTTTTTTTATTTTAAAACTCTTTTACGTCATGCAAAGTTTTCTTTAATTATTAGTGATAAGAAAATTAAATGATACAATTGTGTTTCACATCAAAAAAAACTCGGGTCATGGGAACTTTTCCAGTAAAATCAAGTCATGAGGAATATGATTGTCACACCCGCGTGATTTAGTCGACCACATGATCAAAATTTTCATACTCTAAATTTCAGCCGGAATTATAATCGCGACAATCTTGTACAACCATCGATCTCCTATATACTGTATCTTCAATTTCATTATATCTTGAAATTGGTCTCCTTGATTTTACTTACTTTATAAATTTTATAAATACTCTTCGTTAACAAACCTGAAAAAGGACTTATTAAAAGGTTTTCACTTTTGGTATGTTCTCAGTCGAAGTATTAAATGTGATTTAAATTTTTTTGATAGCGTCGCTTCATTATCGTCTGTGTTGTGTCTTATTTTGCTATATAAAGTGATATAGATTTTTGTGCTTTCGTTCATATCTATCTTATCGCACAAACACCGCATAATGACATTACCATTGCCACAGGTAAGTGGGTTGTAATAGTATTATTTAACGCAAGTGAACACGAACTTGTCTCGCTTTGTCATACTTATTGATAACAAGAATTTCTTCTTATCATTGAAAGAAGGGCAAAACAATGGAATTACGAGTATAATAGTATTTTTAACGATATAGGACATCAATCTTCAAACATTCATATGCTCAAAATTTTCGATAATTAAGCCTTCCTAAAAAACATTCTTTGTTCGGATAATATTCCTTTATTCATTGTTCACAACATACCAACTCGGGATGTCACAACACAACTAGAACGAATTTAAGAACGTAACTGTAATTTTTGTTCTGGAAAATCAAGGACTTTTATGTATGTAATACGGTTCTTATTTTACAGGTAATTCTGGTTCGAAAATCCTTCAAATCATTAAACACTCCGAACCGGAACCTTCTATCAACAATATTTTTTTTACGCTCTAATTGTTGCTCATAGCGCGTGTTGACACGTTTTATTAGGTATGACATTAACAAGTACAACTGAGTTATGCTATAACTATTCCTCAAGAGCATCACTTAAAATTCCGAATTGCTTTCAAAATATTTCAGAATATAAGAAGGGTTGGGAGTATCTTGACATTACGCTTGTTTGGTATTTTGGTTATAGGAAGTACTTATGGTTTTATTGGATGAAGAACGGAGTATACTTTATCGCTATTAAAATCAATTCACAAAAGTTAACAATACCGATAACTACTCATTCTAAAATGGATGATTAGTGCATTTGCTGCAATTCTGCATTTATGTTAATTCTTAGGAATAGGACAGGACGAACAGGGAATTATGATGACTTTGGAATTGCGAGAAAATTACTGAGCCGAAGAATATTAGAACAAAAGATCTCGAGTTTTTCAAATGAATGATGACCTCGTAATCATTAATTAAGGTTATTATGGTTAATTCAGTGTGAGAAGTCAAGAGATATTTCTAAATACGGATAACGACAATGTTTTTGGAGGAAGTTTTTCTAATGGGACTTATTCTTATTAGTCGATTGATGAAGGCAGTATAACTTCCGAATTGCTCAAGGAAAATTTGTCAGTTAAACCTATTGGAGCGTGCTGTTCTCACGTTAAAATTCTTTATTGTATAATAAATGATTTTATTGAAATTGGTTTAATTAATTTAATTTCTTAATTGTGAGACATTATGTAAGCATAAACAAAATAGATTATAACATGAAAATATTGATAATTTTGTAAGAAAATAAGGCAAAAGAATCAAAAAATTAACAAATAAACACATTATAAGAATTTTGAAATTTGTGAACATATTAGGAATGTTTGTGTTTGTGAATTCATAGATATAGATCTCAAAAGATCATAATTTGTGAGCATACAAGGATTGTTTGTGTTTGTTTGCGAATGATAATAATGTAAAAAGATTAATCGTTATAAATAAAAGAGTTACTATAATATAAATAAATAAATAAATTACGAAAAAATAAAAAATAAAAATTAAAAAAAAAAAAAAAAATTAGGAAATTTGTATTAGGAATGTTTGTGTTTGTGAATTCATTAGATCGCAATGTAAAAAAAGATAATCGTTCTAAATAAATGAATTACTGAAATAAATTACGAAAAATAAATAAAAAATAGGAAATTTGCGAGCGTATTAGGAATGTTTGTGTTTGGATCGCGAAAAATATATAAATAAATAATTACGAAAAAATAAAAAATAAAAAAAATAGGAAAAAATTAAAAAAAAAATTAAAAATTAGGCCTTGGGCTTGTTTGGTGGGCGGCTTGTAAAGTTTGGAGGTTTTTCGCTAATGCTTGCTTTCGGAAATTGTGGGCAAATTAGAAATGTCTATATCATTAATCGCGAATAATCATAATGTCGTAATCTACAGTATAAACGAAAAGAAATTGGGGAATAAATAAGAATGCATATAATCTAAAAAGTTAATTAAAATCCATAAAAACTTACATTAATTGAATTTTTTAAAAAGGAAAAAATATTTCGTTTGTTTTGGAGTTCCCGAAAAAGAATAAAACGCTTACAATATATATAAATCTTTCAAATACAAATGAACGAGTGTCAAAGTTGGTGAACAAAGTTTTACTGTTTCGGGCGTATAAAATGTAATTATTTAATTTTTTCATCCGAAACCTTCCCGAAATACTGAAAAGATATTAATGAAACATACATTTATAATAAAGGTCATCAATATTGAAATTTTCTATTACGCAATTTATAAATGATTTTTATTATTTTGAACTTGTAAATCGGGCGGATTTTCTTTATTCTTTTTAAAGGGTAGCTCAATGGTTCGCATCTTTCGAATAAGTAAATAACATTATCAGGTGATAATATAGTCATTTTGTAATAAAATTTGACAAGATGGGTTGAGTTGAGCGAATAAAGTGATTAAAAAAAAATTTTTTTTAAATAATCTTAATACATAAATATGAAAAAGGGAAGAAAAGTTTTATTTTTTTCTTAAAGAATAAAAATAAATAAAAACGATCATATGAAAAAAAAGAAGGAAAGAAAAGAGATTTTTGACCTTTTTTATAAAAAATTCTTTGTCACATTATTTCGCGTAGTAATAAATTTGCTATAATAATACAATATATAGATTGATACGATAATTTATTTAAAATTAAACTTTGGAAAAAAAGGGGGGAACGATAATTGGTGTTTGCATTCTGAAGACGGTTGACACGAAAAATGAATAATAATATTAGGTCATACTGAGAAGAGAACAATTGAAATATATGATTTAATTGATTCTAATATTTTCCATTACATTCTAACCTGTTCGAAAATATTCAAACTAATTTGTGTCGACAAATCAGACACGACACGACATTTCCTTTGTTTACTTGTAATTATACAGGGAAAAAAAAAGTGTTCGAATATTTGTTTATAAATGCACACACCACAATGCGTTTTCATGGGACATGATCTGACAGTTTCAAATGCTTGGGACATATCACTGGCCCCAAAATCATGGTCTAGATCTTTCAATCATAATAGTTTGACGTCATAAACCTTTTATAGTATAAACTTTAAGTCATATAGTCGGTTTAACCTGTCACACATTTCGGACGTGCACTGCAAAAACCCAACCCACCGCACCGCTCTAAGTAAACTTACAGAATGAGCAAAAATACACCTACACGTTTATTTTTTAAGTCTAAATAAGGTTTGGTTTGAAAAGAAAAAATTTTCGCAAAAAGTTGCCTGTGGCTCATGCGACGATCATTCGTCGATCATTTCCAAAAATGTAATATGCTTTTAGTATGTTTGGTAAAACCACCAAACAATGAAATCTAAAAAGACAATGATTGACGCGAAGGCCCCATATTATTGGATAAAATATCACGAATTCATTTTTTTTTATATGAACTGTATATATCATAATGTTTGTTTGTACACGAGACTTAATCAAACAGTTTTTCTCAGGGAGTAATCTGTAAAAAACCTGAATTTTTACCACAGTTTTTTAATTGCACGATGACAAAGAAAAATAAATATTATAATGTCAAGTCCATTGGTACTTCAAATATTTAACAAATATAGGGCTGAAAATTTCTAAAAATAACACGGCCATTGTGCCAAAAGAATGGTACAAAAAAAAAAAATTGCCCTGGCTGAAAACAATTGTAATATTCTTTTTATTAGAAATTAATTAATTAATTAAAATTTAGAGTTCAACATAACAATTAATTAATTGGTACATGGTAAAATATTATTCCAAAATGGGTGCAAATTTTTTTTTTTTTAAAAATGGCTGAATGTAATACATAAACAAATTCTTTTTTTTAAAAAAAAATAATTAATGCATTAAATTTAGTAATTAACAACTAAAATTGTATTATTAATATCTTAATATTAACAACGGCTCAGTCATTTGAAAATTCCAGGGTCGATTTTTGCAAAACGGAAGGAGGGGTAACTACAAAAAAAAATATTTAAAATAAAAATTTTTTTCCTTCCAAATTCTGCAATGACTTCAATCATAAAAAATTTGTCGGTATACTCTGAAAATTATGCGGTGTTTACATGTCCTACCTTTCTACTGCAAAGCAAATGTTCGTGTAACCAACCAAGCACAGCACAGCGTTTTAGAAAATTTTATAAATACCCTTAAAAAATGGCCAGTATGAAAATATAATTAAAAGTTCCAGTATTTGGCAATATTAAAAATTTGATTTAATCATTTGTCATTTTGCTTCTTCACAACATAAATTAATCTTACTCCGCGAGTAAGATTTAGCTCACGTTTTTTGTGAAACCGAATTAACCCAACCAAGATACTTGTAATATTTCAATTATTTAATTTTAATTATTACGCGGACTGTTAAGACTATGTGGAATATTTTCGACCGATATTTTTTATTCTTTCATATTTAATATATTATTAACATGTCTGTATACGATCGAAGACCGATATAGTTACTCCCGTTCAATAACATACAAATGGCTAAACACTTATCACATGACTGTAATAATTGAGAATGGGGAAAAATAAAAAATAAAAAATTTTAGTGCCAACTTTATATTCAAATGACTTGGGTTTTGTCATTTGAGTAATGTAATTTGTCATTTCTCATTTGAATCCTAATATTGGTGAGCATTCGATTAAACAAATAAACTAATATACTGTATATATTGATACCCGCACAGTCTAAAACACTTAACTTTTTGAATATCCCTAAATGTAAATTTCTAGAAGTTAAAGTTTTCCCGGTAGTTGACACCTGACGCCAATCGATGCGTAATGCAATGTGAAAAAAATACTATCACTTAAAAACTTCATTGTACAAACAACTATTCTAATTCGTTCATAAACCGAAGATGATTATTGAGAATTCGTAATTATAATGAAAATACCTAAATAATGATTCTATTTTGAAATAGATAGCAAGAATGAAATTAACGATAACTCGAAAAAAGTTATACTAGACCCGAAGATTTAAATACTCATTGTTTAATCTAAACTAAATCTTTGTAGATAACTAAGAACACCTATTAATAAAATTGATGGAAGAACTAAGTACTGTTATTAGCAGTTCTTCGGTGTTTATAGGTTATAAACGATACATAAGTTTTATTATTTTCGTATTTTATTTATAATAATAACGGAGTTTCTAATCTAATATAACGTAGATAAAGTATTGCCTACGAAAGCGCTCTATACAATCAGGTACGTTTATAATTATTATCGGAGATATTACAATAAAATGTAAAAGGGAAAGGGAATATAACACGAAGTTTTTATTTTAGGAATATCAATGAATATCAATTTTGTTAAAGAAAAATCCAGATGTGGCTTAGTAATCTCATGTGACTTTAGTTCGTCATATGATTTGTAGTCGTTTCTTCTATTATAATATCTTTCTTTTACTTAACATTGTTATGTCAATAAAGTTTAAGATGCATTACCGCATCGAAAAAAAAAAAATAAATTACACCCTGCTCACCACATGGTGGGCATAATGCTGTGTGAAATATCACGATTTTTACGATTTTATGTTGACGACATTCAAATTTAATTGGGTGATTTATGATCAAAATTTAAATATGTTAATTTCAGCCGGAATTATAATCGCGACAATCTTGTACAACCATCGATCTCAATTTCATATCTTGAAATTGCTCTTCGTTAACAAAACCTGAGAAAGGTGAGACGTAAAATTCATATTCTCTTTCATTATAAAGGTAAATTGGACTTATTAAAAGGTTTTCACTTTTGGTATGTTCTCAGTCGAAGTATTAAATGTGATTTAAATTTTTTTGATAGCGTCGCTTCATTATCGGCTGTGTTGTTTCTTATTTTGCTATATAAAGTGACATAGATTTTTGTGCTTTCGTTCATAAACACCGCATAATGACATTATCGTAGAACAACCCATTGTCACAGGTAAGTGGGTCGTAATAGTATTATTTAACACGAGCTTGTCGCGCTGTGCCATACTTATTGATAACAAGAATACTAATAAATTTCTTCTTGTCATTGAAAGAAGAGCTTTGCAAAACATTTCAGAATATAAGAAGGTTGATTAGTTGGAGGGAGTATCTTTGACATGACTTTTCTTTATTATTATTGATTACGTTTATTTGGTTATGGAAGCACTAATGGTTTTATTGGATGAAGCAACGGAGTTTATTTTATCGCTATCAAATTCAATTCACATTCTCAAACAAAGTCAACAATACTGATAACTACCATTCTAAAATGGATGATTAGCGCATTTGCTGCAATTCTGCATTTATGTTGTTAATTGCTTAGGAATAGGAAAGGACAAACGGGAATTAAGATGAATTTGGAATTGCGGACAATGTTTCTGGAGGAAGTTTAGCTAATGGACTTATTCTTATTACTACCGAATTGTTCAAGGAAATTGTGTCAGTTAAACCTATTGGAACGTGCTGTTCCCACATAATTATAAAAAGAAATTTTAAAATTCTTTATTGTATAATAAATGATTTTATTGAAATTGGTTTAATAAATTTAACTTCTTAATTTGTGAGAAATGATGTAAGCATAAACAAAATAAATTATAACATGAAAATATAGATAATTTTGTCTGTAAGAAAATAAAGAATCAAAAAATTATTATAAGAATTTTGAAATTTGTGAACATATTAGGAATGTTTGTGTTTGTGAATTCATAGATCTCAAAGATAATGCAAAAAGACTAGTCGTTATAAATAAAAGAGTTATTGTGTGTAAATAAATAAATAAATTACGAAAACAAATAAATAAAAAATAAAAAAATAGGAAATTTGTGAGCATATAAGGATTGTTTGTGTTTGTTCGCAAATGATAATAGTGTAAAAAGACTAAAAAGACTAATCGTTATAAATAAATGAGTAAATATAGAATGGCCTTCGAATATTTTCCTAGATTATCTCATATTAATAAATAAATTACGAAAAATAAAAAAAGAATAAAATAGAAATAGGAAATTTGTATTAATGTTTGTGAATTCATTAGATCTTAATGTAAAAAGACTAATAAACTGTACGAAAAAATAAAAATATTAAAAATTAGGCCTTGCTCTTTTTGGCTTGCTTAGTGGGTGGCTTGTAAAGTTTGGAAGTTCTTCATAATGCTTGCTTTCGGATGAATTTTGAAATTGTGGGCAAATTAGGAATGTCTATGTTTGTTGAATTCATTAATCACGAATAATCATAATGTCGTAATCTACAGTATAAACGAAAAAGAAATTGTGAATAAATAAAAATTCTTGTGGTATCTTATCTAAAAGTTAATAGAAACTTACATTAATTGAAATTTTTAAAACGAAAAAAATGTCGTTTGTTTGTGAGCTCCCGAAAAGAATTAAACACCTATGGTATATATAAACCTTTCAAATGAAAATGAACGAAAAAGAATAATGTAAAAGTTATATAAATTTTTACATAAGAATGGTGGTGGTGTTACGGGCGTGTAAATTAAAATTTTTAATTTTAATTTTTTCATCAGAAACCTTTCACTTTGAAACCGTAAACTTTTGTAGATCAAATAGTTTCCGATATACTGAAAAAATCTTAATGAAACTTACATTATATTTAGGTCACCAATATTGAAATTTTCTATTACTCAATTTATAAATGATTTTTATCATTTTGAACTTGTAAATTGGGTGTATTTTCTTTATTCTTTTTAAAGGGTTGCTCAATTGTTCGCATCTTTCGAATAAGTAAATAACATTATCAAGTGATAATATAGTCATTTTGTAATAAAGTTAAAAAAATAAAAAAAAGAGAAAATATGAAATAAGGTAAGGGAAGAAAGTTAATTCTCTTTTTAATAATAAATAAATAAAAATACGACCATATGAGAAAGATAAAAGTCTAAGGCCTTTTTTATTAAAAATTCTTTGTCACATTATTATTTCGAGTTATTCGCGCTCTATTAATTTGTTTAGTAAATATATATGCTAAGAATTTATCTGTTGTGTTGCTATAAAACAATATATAATTTTTTTTAATTTACTGAGGAAAACCAGTCAAATTTACAGTAACATTAACTTTTGGAAAAAGGGAAACGATAATTGGTGTTATGCATTACGAAAACCTGAGAAGAAACAATTGATATATAAAATTTAATTGATTTCTAATTTTTTCTCACAAACCAGATCGTAGTAATATATGATGGTGATGGTATGTGGCACAATTTGGTGTCTCTCAACATTCGAATAATAACAATAACTTAATAATCATGAAAAAAAATGAGCAAATTTGGTTTAGTTAATTTCGTTCATAGGTTAAAAAATGGTTATCATTTGAAAAAAAAAAATTTACGCGAATTCAATTTCCATAAAGAGGCAAAACTTCTTATTTTGTATTACATTTTTAGAAAGGATCGACAAATCATTGGTGTAAACTTTTTACGGTTTTTTTTCTTTTTTATTTAGACTTAAAATTATGTATGTAGGTATATTTTTGCTCGTTTTGCAAGTTACTTAGAGCGGCGGGTTGGATTTTTTTACAGTAAAATGGAATTAAGGAAAAAGAATTGGTAAAAGGATTAGGATTTAATAAGCTTTTTATAAATGAGAAAGTTATTTTTATTATATTATTATTTTTAAATCATAATAGGTTGACATCGTAAACTTTTATTATTTATTGGATATTATTTTTTTAGAGTTGTTTATAAAAAAAGATACATGCATATCATCATGTTCCATGATTCAGGGGCTAAATTTATGTTTGTTCCGATCCGATCATCCTATACATTATATTAAATATAAATTCGACAGTTTCCTCTCTGGGACGATGATGATGCATTCTGTACAATCTACTGTAAAAATGTATTTTATTAAATATAATAAATATGATGTGGATTATTATTAATTTTAAACCACAGTTCTTTGCATAAAGGTACAAAAAAAAAATATTATTGTTACTAAGTTAATTCTATAAATAATTTGACACCTCCTCACAAAAAATTGTAGATTATAAATCATTTAATTATTAAAAATTTCACAATGGGGCATAATTTTGTTTTTCACAAACAAAAAAAAAGTTGAATTTCTAACTATTAAAAAATCTAGAACCTTTTTTCTTCACTATTTTTTTTTTTTTTTTATAAATATTAATAATGATTAATGCGGAGATACTTGGTTGTGTCATTTTCGTTACACTTGCGTTCCGGACCTAACAACGATCCTAGTATAATACATTTAAAGATATGGGCTCTTTGTTAAAAAGGGAGGGTAATTATTTTCAAAATAAATTTATTTCGGCAATTTCCGATGATTAAAACTAAATATGGTTCAAAAATAATATCATGTAAATAACCACATAACATCAAAAGCATACCATTTTTTTTAAAAAAATTATGTTGTTTGAATGTTACAGTGGTTATTCCCTGTATTTGCTAAAATTTCATTCATTTACCAATACAATATAACCAGTAACATGTATGTGGTACATGATAAAATAATTATCTCAACAAAGCGTTTATTAAAATACATTTAATAAACTTATAATATCATCATTAATACTACTGACACAATTGAAGTTATTAGTAGATCACAAAAGAATTTTTTCTGCCAATAAAAATACATTTTTCTTAAGTTATATTATATATAGTCAAAATTATGCGGACATGAAATAATTTATATAAATAAAATTAAAATAATAGATGTTATTTTTATCTTTATTTATTAATTAATATTTAATTCTATTGCCATTTGCGATAAGTGATCATAACGCAACAGCAATAGTGTGACCTAATTGTCTGCAATTGTAACCAAAAATAGGTCATGTAATGTACAAAAATCCATTCCTATAAAAAAAGTTCTGTGTTTCGTTTTCCATGTATTTTCTGTGAAGGGCTCATTTTCCCGGATTTTATAATCTTAAAATCTTCATCTCATTCCGTGAAAATCTCGTTTTCACGGAAGTTTTACAGAAGCCACGGAGAAATAATGGAAATAATATTCAGGCAAAAATTTTTTGTAGGGCAAATTACTACTCTTTTATTTATTATGAATTGTATAAGGATGGAAAATTATTAAATATCAAAATTGCGAATACTAATCAATAAAAATATATTCAAAAAAATAAATTCTAATTAATAATAATTCCACCCATTGAAAATATTTAGTTATTTTCTTAAGTGTTTACTTTGCATTAAAATAGAAGCATACTAAACAATTTCTCTTTGACTAGAAGTCTTGACGATCTCCGACTTTTTATCCGCAATAGACTGAGAAAATAAGACCATAATCAAGTAACTTTTTAACCATAAACTAGATGAAGCACATAATGTCGCCAAAATAAGACCGCTATATGTATAATATATAAAAGTTATAACTTTCAAATCATATTCCTCATTAAATGTTGCAAGGTGGTATTTTATATCTTGAGCTTCATCGGTAATCTCATTCTTGCGATGTACAATACAGAGGTTTTTAACTGACTTATATATCGCGTAACCATTTAAAATAATATAAGGAATTATGATAAAATATACGTCATAACTGATGTTGTTAAATCTACGAAAAGCGATGATGAAGAAAATTGTGTGAATAATAACTTCGACTAAAGGTAAGAAATATGATAACACATATAAGTATGTCAGGGAGATATCAGGAAGAAACTTTGGTAATAAATATAACAAAAAAGATGCTATTAAAATTGTGACATATGTTATCAAATACAGCATAAAAAAGAAATCGTTTGTTTTTTTGTACATGTTAACCATAAACCAAATTCCCAAGCCAATTATAATGAGTTGACATGACAAATAAAGATTACTAATTCCTTTTAAACGATCCTTTTTTTTCAAATTTAAATAAATCAACATCGAAAGTATTGCAGTAAAAAGGATATCGAATGAATCTATTACCCTAAAACTATCATTTTCTTGAGCGAGTGTTGGTTGAACAAGGAGGGACAGAACTCCAAGTAATTTGAAAATATTATGGAACAAAAAATTATTTTTCATTTTAGCAACGAATATTGACTCCATAGAAATAATATTTGTATTTTTGTTGGAGAAATTCGGATTTTAAAAAAATCGATACTTGAAGGATTCTTTCTAGTCTTTTTAAATCATGTTCTCATTTAGGAAAATTTGGGGGTAAAATTTACAATGATCTTCCTTTTTAATAACCACAATCGTGACATTTATGTAATATTACATTGAAAATTCCAAAAGAATGCATGGATAGAAGGGCGTTAAATAATAAATGATTATGCATGTAACCAAAAATTTAAAAACTATAATAATCAATTTTAGAATTTAAAATTTAAAGTTAATTATAAACCTTGCAATAGAAAGGAGGTGAACTTTCGCAGAATTTGGCAGACATCTTCAATTGCAAAGCATTCATATATGTAAATGTTAGGATCACGTGATATCTCATTTAATTTCGTAATATGACTGTGTTGCAATTATGAGGTAATTTTACAATTTTAAGATTGTTAAGATTTTAATTAAAACTTGTTGAAGTTGCAACTCCTTGCTCCGGGGTGAGTTGAAATCGTTAAGGTTGCCTCAGTATGCCTTAGTCCTAAGATAGCACGCATCCCTAAAACTCTATGAAATTATCCGTTGTTAGCACCGAGATATTGTTATTTTATTTAAATAACAACCATGAACACTTTAAGAAATGGATTTAATATTTTGTTAAATGACTAATTCTAAATCTAAACTTTATATTGTGAGAAAAAGATATTCTATAATATTAACCGCATAAAAAAAGAATTAACTCTTAGAAAACAATGGATGTTAAGTTTAAGACTTAGAGACTTATAGAAAAAAATATAATTTAAAAAGGAAGTTCTAATTTTTATTTTATTTATTTATAAAAAAAAAAATTTCTACATTGCTACTTTTATTTAATATATCAATATGATGCTATATATTATTAAAATAATACGAATTTACAGTACCCATGTAAAAGTTATGGAAAAGTTACTTTGAAGTTTACATCCCGACTTTTTATACAAACATAGGTTCAGATACTTTTTATATTATCAAATGAAATTTTATTGAGAACCGAAATGGTTACACAATTTAGATTATTTATACAGGTACTCTAAAGTTCAGAATCATTAGAAATCACCGTTGAAAAAACTTATTATCGTTTGATACCTTTGGGTATGTATGTATGTAGGTGAGAAAAGCACCCAGAAAGGAGGTGTTATTTACTGTACATTCATACGCAAAAAGTGAAAGTTCCCATATTCATATTTTACTACGTTTTTATTTATATGGACTGAAAAATAATTTTATAATGTAATTAAAAATATCAAAATCGCGGATACCGTACAATTTATATATAAGATTATAATAATTCTGTTGAACCTATTTAAGATAAAATTAACCATTTTCTTCCAATAGTTGTATTAATACTCTTTCAAAATTAAACAAGTTTCCCTTTGATTAGAAATATTGACGACGATCTCTGACTTTTTAATAGTCGCGTAACTTTTTAACCAACAACTCAACTAGAAGGAACACATAATGTAAGAAGAATAAGACCGATGATATACGTATAATATATAATTTATAAATTTCAAATCATAATCCTCATTATACGTATATTAATATTTTGGAATTTTCGTTAACCTCGTTGTTACTATGTATAAAATCTATTACCCTAAACTATCGTCTTCCTGAGTGTGTGTTGGTTGTACAGAACTTCAAGTAATTTGAAAATATTATGGAACAAAAATTATTTTTCATTTATGAAATTTTATTTGTATTTTTGCTTAAGAAATTCCGATTTAAAAATGATAATCATCATTTAGGAAAATTTGGGGGCAAAATTTACAATGATCTTCCGTTTTAATAACCACAATCGTGAAAATTTAGGTAATATTACATCTGGTCCATGCGTGAAATGAATAAAAACGTCCATATCCTGTTCCGATATCGTCATCGGCTGCATAACTGTCATCTTGAAGATGGAAGGGCGTTAAATAACGATTGATTAAGCATATAACCAAAAAATTTAATAATCAATTTTAGAAATTAAAATTAAATAAACCTTGCAATAGAACATAAATATTCTGCTCACGTGATATATAATTTAATTTCGTAACATATTGCCAATAAAATCAAGTGAAATCGGTAATGTCTAGTCACGCATTGAGTAACTGGCCTTATCCCTTAAATGGTAATGATTTTAATTCATAAATCTATTACTTTTAAATAAAATTTCATTTTTAATAATTAAAATATTAAATATATACAAAATTTTTAACTTTAA